GGTTTTGTTGGAAAAGCTTGCGAGCTTGTTCCATTCTCCTTCTCATCTCCTCTAGGAAAGACTTGCGAGTATTTTCCACCCTTCCTCTCAGCTTCTAATCTCTTTCGTCTCTCCGCAAGTTTACACCCCACCTGTATCCTTCTTCTTTTGGAATGTATACTGTATTCTAATGCTTTCAGATGCTATCTTCATTAACAATTCAGTGCAAACTTGATAATGAATTTCACAAGATCATGCAACTAGGATGCTGAAAACCCTTGAATCAAATTTCCAATACCAAGCTAAAAAGTACTATTTAATTTAAAAAACTGATGTAGGCAAGGAATGGATCAAAACAAGTTGAGTTGAAAATTTTGTAAGTTCTACTTGAATCAGCTCATTAATGAGCCTCTTCTTATGTTTCAAGCTCATAAATGCTTTCCTCTACTAGATATCAGCTCATTAATGTCTAGTAGAGAGCCTTTTTAGCTCATAAATTGAGGTTCATTCCCCCATTTGTTGTCCCTTTGGTTCCCGTGGATAGTTCCTTGGTTCCCGTGGATAGTTCCTTGGTTCCCGTGGCTTGAACCTTTGGTTCCTGTGGTTGGCTACTGGTTTCCGCGCTGGGTGGTTTTCCTGTGCCTTGCTACCTCGGTTCCGTGCGGGCCTCTTGGGTTTCCGCGGCTACCTCTTCGGGTCCATGGCTGGACGGTTTCTCGTGGCTGATGGGGGGCTTTTCCATGGCTTTGGTGCTTCGTTTCCTGGAGTTGACTTTTGGCTTTCCATATTCCCTATTTAAATAAGCTTTTAAATTAATGTTGTGGCTATTTGTATTCCCCTCTCATGCCTATATATAGAGATGTTTTGTGTATGTTTAAGTATGATATATGAATGATTTTTGGAAATGTAAACCTGCGGATTTTGTTGGAAAAGCTTGCGAGCTTGTTCCATTCTCCTTCTCATCTCCTCTAGGAAAGACTTGCGACTACTTTCCACCCTTCTTCCCGGCTTCTAATCTCTTTCGTCTATCCGCAAGTTTACACCCCACCTGTATCCTTCTTCTTTTGGAAAGCAAGTTTAGAGTGTCTTGTTTGTAAGTCATTTTATTATATAAAGTTGTGGTTTATAGAATTTGTGTCTTTTTGAGTATTTTTATGTCTTTCTTTTGTTCCTAGAAAGAGTTTCTTTTGTGATCAAAAATTTGGGGCCCTCTCCCAAATTTTTGATTACATCAAAAATGATGCTAAGAAATAAGACAAAAATATATTTAATTTGTCCATAAAATATTCTTGCTTAAAGAAGGAACTTGTTTTAACATATAACCGGCAAATACACATTTAGCTCAAGTTGATAATGTACTGACCCTCTACCTCACTAGAACCTGAAATCAGCTTAATGATCTTCTCTATCAACGAATATAATACAGCAAGGTTTTGTTGCTTTGATAGTACAGATTCAGAAGTAGAACTTTTAGACGCTTCATATTTCAGATATGCTAGCTCGTTGAGAAGAACAGCAACCTCCACTCTTGCAGACTCAAGTACAAGTAGAAGAAACCTAACAAAAATAAAAATATTAGACACAAAGCACATTTCAAACAATTTGGCAGGTTTGCGCATCTGCTAAAAACACTGCTAGCTCAAGAATTTTAAAAACACTTTAGTAGGTTAGCTTAAGAAAAACTAAATGCTGCCATACTTTTCAACTGACAGAGTTGCTTGGACTTCAAGCATTGTTTTCTCTTCTAAAATCCAACTCTCGCCAAGTATATGCATTATTGAGTCCAGAAGCTGAAGAGCCTGAAGTTTCTCACAAGAAACTGCAAAATCACAAAGAACAGCAGATATAAATCCAAGATACATGTTTTTACATTACAGTTTTTTCTAACGTTATTACACAGCTTATCTTTTAGTAAATCTTTTTTTTATTTATTTATATTTTTCCCAAACTCAGTCATAATAAACCTAAAAAAGTGAAAATAAGGCATACCAATGCGATTTTGTAGGATTTCCATGACACCAATGTGAATATAAGCTGCCCAATTTTCGCTTGATAATTCTCCTAAAGCCTCATGAAATAACTTAAACCAGGAATGTGGAAAGATAGAAGAGTCAGGCAAATTAATAAAGCAAATTTATTTTATCAACTAAAAAGCCATGTTTAGCCAATCATGAATATAAACAAAAAAGTTGACTCCTTCCAAACGCTTTGGTAGTTACATGAATAAAAAAATAGGTAACAGATGTTTCATGCAAACGGTATGGCCATTGCTGGTTACATTCGCATTTCACAAAGAAAATCGATGCAAAGCTTATCCTGGAGACATAAAATTAAGGTAATCGATGCAAAGCAGAATACCATCATAAATATGATGGTAAAATTCAGACATATAGGAAGTGAACGATACAGTAAAATTGCAAAGTCACCATAATCAAACAAGAGAAAATATAAGAAGATCGCCTATATTCCCTGATCAGTTATAAAAAGTTTTACCCATAAACTCTTAACAATACGAAGTCCACGGAATAATTCTTATATCCAGCCATTATGTTAGACCAGTCCAGCCAGTCAAGGAGGGACCGTCCAGCTTTTAAACCAGGCACAAGTCTGATCCGTCCCAGGCTTTGTCTGCCCCCTTAATGTGGGATCCAAACCATAATGAAGAGAGAGGAGGGAGCGATTAGGATGGAAATACAATGGTTCTTTGGTTTGTATGCTTTTAATAGATTGTTCACCTTAGGATTAGGGCTATGTTATGATTTTGCTAAATTGAGTTTTCCATAGGAGAGAAAGATACTCCAGCGAGTGGCTAGGGTTTGGGAGAGCCGTATCTTCCTCTTTAATTGAAGATCTATTATATCTTGTTTGTTTCTTTCTTATCATCAATTAAAAAGTTTCTCTTGTGTGATTCCACCTAGATCTTTCTTGTTTACTATTTTGGACTTGCTGAAATTCAATTACAACCAAGGTTTTCTTCTATTTCAAGAAGCGTTTCCTATCAAATTGGTATCAGAGCACCTTCTTACGTGGAAAACTAAGTTATCTTCTCTGACTTTCACGATTGGAACCTAGATCAAAGTCAACGGAGGCAAAAAAGATGGAGGCATTGGAAGGAGAGATGGAATAACTCAAGGCCGGAGTAGAGAAAAAATTTTCTGGGGTGGAGGGAAGACTTTCAGCCATTGAGAGCCACTTTGGAAACTTTGAAAATATGATGAAAAGGATGCTTGAGATGCAGTCGAAAGCTTTACCGGCGATTCCTAGGGCTAAACTAAGAGGAAAGGAAATTCAAGAGAACTGTGATAAAGTGGAGAGGGGGGTGTGTGTCGAGGGGGGGGGGGGGGGGGGGGGGGGGGGGGGGGCCTCTGTTGATGGTCAAATCGGGGTATTCTAAAGATAGGACCATTGAGGAACTACCACATCATGGGGAGAGGTGGAATAGAGGAGTCATGGTTGGATGGAGCCATGAGATCTAACTCAACCAGGAGAGGAAGGGAGGGAATCGCATCACCACTACACGGTAGGAACCAATGGAGGAAGAAACCAATAGAGTATGGATGCGAAATCGAGGAAACTAAAGATGGCAGTCTTTGAAGGGAAAGATGCTCAGGGTTGGGTGAACTGGGTGGAACATTACTTTGCTATCAATGATCAGACAGACGGGGAAAAGCTCATGGCATCAGGCCTATGCTTTGAGGGAAAAGCCCTAGCTTGGTCTCATTGGAGGAAAGCTCGATATTCGATCTATTCATATTGAGAATTTAAGAAGTGTTTCTTGAAACATTTCGAAGCCATCCGGGAATGAGACCTCCACGAACAGTTCAATGCCCTAACTCAAGAAGAGGCAATAATGGAGTATGGGGAGAAGTTTGAGCTACTAACAGGAAGACTAAGAGGTATTTTCTAGGAAAAGTTGGAAGGGAATTTCATGAAAGGGCTTAAAGAGGACATACGACAAATCTCGGGTACTGAGGCCTAGACAACTAAGAGAGATGATGGGGCTTGCTCAGAGTGTGGATGAAAAATATTGAAGGGAGAAGGCTAGCATGAGCAACGTCATGGGAGGGGATTATAGGAGCACCTCTATGACCCTGGCACTAGGAACCTATACGGGGTCATTTCAAAGGGAAGCACCGAAGGAAAAGGGCACAGAAGTTCTCCATGGAGGCAACTTCAAGCGCTTTACAAAAGCAGAGGTGCAAGATAGGTGGGCAAAAGGATTATGCTTCAGATGTGATTAAAGCTAAACACCAAGGCACGGGTATAAGGATCGAACTCTTCAGGTTCTCCCTGTCTGTGATGACAAAGAATCTGAGGGAGGTGGGAGTGAGGCATCAATAGAGGAGAAAAAGCTGCATTTAGACATGGCATAGGTCTCCTTGAACTCAGTAATGGGATTCACTCTGAATTACACCATAAAAGAGAGGAGAAATAACAGACATGGAGATAGTGATATTGATATACAGTGGGGCTACCAATTTGGGATGAAATTGGTGGACACGAGGTACTATGAGGTGATGATGAGCACTAGGAAGATGGAGACAAATAGAGATGTGTGTGGGGGGTGGTTATAACCATATAGAGGGTTCAGGTGAGGGAGGACTTCCTCCCATTGGAGCTAAGGAGCACTAATGTCATCATGGGAATAAGATGATAGCAGACCTTGGGGGATACCAAGGTCAACTAGGGAGTGCTAATGACAGAACTGCTGGTGGAAGAGAGAAGAGTGGGGATCAGAGGAGATACAGGGCTTTTCAAAGCAATGATGTCTCTCAAAACCATGGTAAGGGCCATACAAGAGGTGGGAGGAGGATTTTTGGTGGAGTTACAGAGTTTAGATGTGATCAGAGAAGAGTACATGACATCCTATTTCAGTACATGTTATATAGCAATTCAGTGAGGTTTTTCAGCAACCTCAGGGGTTCCCAACACCAAGGGAGATGGAGCATGCCATCACTTTGAGGGATGGAGTGTCACCGAGTACTGTCAAACCTTACCGCTACCCTCAAATCAAGAAAGAAGAGATTAAAAAGTTGATCCGGGTGATGTTGGAGTCAGGGATCATCAAGTCGAGCGTGAGCCCTTTTTCTAGCCCAGTTCTACTAGTCAAGAAACATGAAAGCTTGAAATTTTTTGTGGACTACCAGGCCCTGAATAAGGAGACTATGCCATATATGTTTCATATTCAGATGATAGAGAGTTGCTAAATGAGCTTTGTGGAGCGGTAGTATACACGAAGGTGGACCTAAAGTTCGGATACTATAAGATACGGACATACCTGTTAACGGCGAATGGCGCACCATGGCGCAAAGGTCCATTTGGAGCCATGGCGCATAAGGAGACTATGCCATATATGTTTCATATTCAGATGATAGAGAGTTGCTAAATGAGCTTTGTGGAGCGGTAGTATACACGAAGGTGGACCTAAAGTTCGGATACTATAAGATACGGACATACCTGTTAACGGCGAATGGCGCACCATGGCGCAAAGGTCCATTTGGAGCCATGGCGCATAGCGCACGGCGCGGCGCGCGCTATTTTGAACATGGCGCAAGCTATATAAAAAATATAAAATAATAAGCATGAATATGAAATATTATTAAAAATGAAAGACAAGCTATCATAATAATAAAAGACAACCATAACATATATAAGTTCGATTAAATAACATCCAAATATCTCATAATTCAAATATTACAATCGTTTTTTAAAAGATCAAATATGAATTTAATATACTCTTCTTGGGAATCATCATCATCAGCAAATGTTAAAAAACTTCATTATCTTCTTCAACATTGTCTCCTACTTCATAATCCTCTTCATCACCCTCCTCATCATCATTCTCAATAGCA